TTTTGGAAGAGCTATGTTTCCTTTTCTGAAGAGAAGCAAGCGCGCCCCATATCCTGAGCTCAGCAGGGAGGACAGAAGGGGAGTTTTGATGCTCCAGGAAGTTCATCCATCGCGGCGCGGCGCGCAGGGCCCGACGCCCCGTGGAGTTCGCTGCCCTCGGAGATATTTATTTATTTGGGGAGAGAGGGAGGGCGTGGGGGAGAGGAGACGAATCAGACACGCGAAGAAAACCCGACCACGGCTGGGTTGGGACCTCCAGGGCGCCTCCCGGCTCGCGGACCCACAGCAGGCGGGTCTCCTTCCTCCGTCGGGGGGCGTTCGAGGCACCGCCTTGCGACCTCGGGGCGCACCTGGCTAGTGCGTTCCGCAGCCCTGGGTGCGCACTGTCCTTCGTTCAGTGCCCGAGGCTAACCCCTTCCAGCCCAAGGGCGCCTCCCAGGTGGGCCCGGCCCTCCCGCGGGCCCTGCGCGGCGCTCGCGAGGCCCAGCCACCTTCCTCCAGAACCTGGGTAGCTAAGCCGAAGCAGTGGGCGCGAGGCCTCCCAAGGCGTGGGGCGGCTGAGGAGGGGGTGCGCGGGCGCCGGTCACAGGCACAGCAGGATGGGCTCAAGGGAAGAGATGCCGAGCTCAAAATATCCTTAAGGGTCCCGCTCCTGAGACACGCCCTGGTTCCTCCGGTTTCAGTCTCATCAAGGGGGACTTCCCTCCCAGCTGCACGAGTGGAAAATTAACGTGCTGAGGGGCATGAGCATCCACACTTACTTCCGCCTTCTTTCTCCCAAGACTGGGAATGTGTGGTACAGACTTCTCTAATTTTCCTTCCCTGCTGGAAACCCACTCATTCCTGCCCCCTTGGGGAACGCACAGACTGTGTCTTTCCCAGCTCTGCCCCTTTTCTCTCCTCCTTGCAGGCATCAGGGCGGCCTTTTAGGAGGAATGGCGATCCCTGCCACGGAATCCCTCTTCTCAAACCCCACCCATAAACGCAGCAGGCTGTGGATGACAAAAGGACGGTCCACCGGAGCCCTCAGAGTGCCCGGCCTGGTACCGCTACGCCCGCACCCGGGTCAGGGCCTGCGGGCAGATGGGCCCTACTCCTGGGAGTACCCCGAAGTCGCTTCTCCCAACCGAAGGGCACCAGGGCCTTGAAATCTGAGAAGTGCAGAAATAGGTAGAGGCGCAGTCTCCACATAGGGCTCTGGTAGATTGGATCCCTTTTTCCTTCCTCTCCAAAGCACCTCAGACCAGGTCAATCGAGGTATCAAGTCATGCCTACCAGGAGGCCCAGGAGGTGGGGGCTATCCGCGGATCTCTCAGGACGGTGGCTATAAAAAGAGCTCTGCCCGGTACAGGCGTTTGGAGAGCGGAAAAAAATCTATCCAAATAAACACTTGGAATTGGGTGGCTGGTGTTCAAACCCGGAGGTCTGGGGGTTTGGGGGCCGAGGAAGAAGAGCAGACGCCGAGAAGGGTGTAAAATCCCCACCGTTACCCCTTCTCGTCCTGGCCGGATTTTCTATTATAAATTAAAGTTTCTAGAGGGGCCTCTGTGGCGCGTAGGTTCGTGGTCTTTGTTGGTTTCCTCAAACAAGCCGACATTCCCTGGGCCTCAGCACCGAGCCCATCGTCCCCATCTAGAAAGGCCTCGCGGGAGCTGGAGAATCCTCTACACAGGTTAATTGTGTGCCAAAACACAGGGTGAATACAGTGGTCAGTTTCAGACTGATTTGGGAAGAGGCTTTGCTCCAGCCAGGCTGGCGGAAGAAGGGAGGGGCAAGCAGAGCGAGAAGTGCCCGGAGGAGGAGAAGTCTTGGATGGCGGTAAACAGTGTCGGTGCGGACGCGTCTCTCCGGTGGGTAACTGGTTTAGTCTAAGCCATTTCATGTAAAACCCACGAAGCAGAGGAAGTATGCTAAGAACATAAAATTTAAACCGCAATAATGAAGAGATTTCCTAGAATAAAACGCCGATTACAAAACAAAATCGGAGAAACCGAAGCTCCCCGAAGTTTACATTCCCCTGCGCTGGAGCAGGGGCGGGGCCTTGGGGTTTGGAGCGGGAAAGGAACCCGCAGCCCAGACGGAGCCAGTCAACCAAAGAGGGACAGAGCACCGGGGATGGACAGAGGTTGGTTGCACCCGACGCTGTGTATTTCTGGTTAAGCGAGGAGCAGCCTGGGTTCATCTATATTTATTTTAACGAACCATACCTTTCCTTCCAGTAAGAAAAAATAAATCAAGATTTTTGTTGTTTATAAGGCAATGAAAGTCAGTCAGGAAGAGCTCACCACCGTAAGAAAGGAGTTCGTGGAGAGGGAACCGTACTAACCAAGGCTATGTATCAGAGACAACTTTCCTTTTAAACTGTCTTCTAAACAGAAATTCAAATATTCTTGCCAGAGATAAAGAATTTGACATGATTTGTTACCGCATGCATTCTTACCCAGGAGACCTGTATAAATCAGTAATTAAATCATAGTTGAGAGGTTTTGCTGCAAGGTAGTGGAAGCAGCACTGAATTGGGATCCCGGGCCCCCCACTACAGTCCAGTTTTGTCACTTCCCCAGGTGTGACTTGGAGCGGGTCATCTGATCTCTCTGAGCCCCTGTTTCCTTATGGCTAAAGGGGAGATAACTGTATTTAGACCACGTGGTGGTGACATGATGTGAGTGGAAAGCCTTGTGCCTGTGAAGTCTATAAGGAACAAATGCAGAGGTTTTGTATTTCTAGACATAGGGGTCTCTGTCGGGGAATTTCCATAGGCAAAAATGGGGTCTGCAAGAAAGAATTTTAGAGAAGAGCCTCTTCCTGCTCAGATAACTAAGGTCATTAACCTCCATATTTTTGTTGAGTGCAGGGTAGTATTTAGACCCCTGGAGAGAGAAAAAGGTTTCAAGTCAGCAGAACTGCTCCTGGCTGGAACTGTAACTCCAATGCCTACTGCCTTTTCAGGACCTGTCTAGCCTCCTGGAACACACAGCAAACTATCGGTGGTATTTCTGGCAAGTTTGAAGAGTTTAGGTAAAATGATTACCATTGTCACTTGGATTGGATAGGGAAGGGAGCCTCTAAAACTCCCTGATATTTTAACCTGCTTGAATTTTAGGGTTGGTGCTTTTTATTTTTCAGTCTCTGGGTCCTAAAACCTTGTAGGGCCTGAAATCCAATGTACATAGAATTTCTAGGTGTGGATAATCAGGGTTCAGTGACAGTGATATTTTCTTGCTTGCTGAATTTTCCCAAAATCCATTGTCCATCACCCCCTCCTACAAATGAGATGATTGCCTTCCTTTTCCTTATGCTTCTACCTGGGCCAATTCTATTCCCACCAAATACACACACACTGAAGACTATGTCAGTGGGGCTCCTTTTAGTTTCTATCTGTCCTCCTCACTCCAGCTTCTATTGTATGTATTTTTCTGACACTCAAAGCACTGATTTAGTGAGCCCACCATATATACTTCTATATTTAGTTACTTACATTTAAATTATCCCATGTAAAAATGACAAAAGGGGGTAAGAGAAAACAAACCTGAAATAAATGGGGGCCCATCCCCAAAATATGCTCCTAAGTCACTCAAAAAGAAATTCTTAGAAGTAGAAGCAACTGCAAACCCCCCTACCCCAACTCAATCAAAACATCCCATCCGGAAAAGACTGACTTGTTTCTTTTTTCTATTGGAAATGAGCGGTAAACTGAGTTCATTTTAGCCGTGTTTTCTTAGCTGACTCTCAGCTACAATCAAGCCATTTTCGGACACATTCCCATGTAGGTACCAGGGGTGCTCTGGAGGAAGCTGTCGACGCCTGTTCAGCTAATTTAGGTTTTCTTTGTCTAATTACTGTGGAGCTTAGGGAAAAGGAGCCCGGCTCAGGGCAGTAAACTGACACTCCGTCTCTGTGTGTGGTATCCAGGCAGGGTTTGATGGAAAAAGCCTGCTTCCACTCAACTTCAGGTCACTGTCTGGGGCCAGCCCTAGCCCAGCCCCCAGCTTCCCCCTTCTCACCCCTCCCTCTCCTCTGCTTCTACAGCCCCACCAGCACACTCAGCCAGGAGCAGATACTCTATATGGTATTTCCAGGGGCACAGATAGCTAGTGCCATCCCCCCAAAACCTGCCTCCGTTCTGTTCCAAGGCTCTTTGCAGTTGGCCTTTCTCTGGATCCCAGACTGATCTCAGATTCTCTCGTCCTACCCCTCTCCCCAGGCTCGCCAGCACACATACTTGCACCTTAGTCCCTTCAGAGTAGACACAGAGGTGTATCCAGCCCAGCCTCCCGTTTGGTCCTCGGGTCTGCAGCACCTCCCCTTCTGGGCCTCCTGCATTAGCCCTTGTGTGGCCCAGCCAGCTCCCAGGCCTCAGGCTCTCCTCCTCCCACTTCCAGCCCCTGTCCCTGGTCAGACTACATTTCCTTGCACGTGTAATCCAATAACTAACTGTCGGGTCTCATTGGAAGTGATTCCTCCCGAGGGCACATCCTCTCTCCCAGGCTCACTCTTACTTAGAGAGGAATTAGCCACACTGGGTGGTGTTCTCCTACATAAGGCAGCTTGAGATGGCACAGCATTTTTGGTGGACAACATGAGACTAAGGAGGTAAATCTAGTGACAGACACACCCCTTCAGGACTGAATATAAATAAAGCTATCTCACTTATCTCAGTGTCAGCCTTCTTTCTTCTTTCTTTCTTTCTTTCTTTCTTTCTTTCTTTCTTTCTTTCTTTTCTTTCAAAACATCAAGTGGAAAACGGAAAGGAAGTGGAAACCAACGCAAACATGAATTCTATTCGACTGTTTCCAGAGTCTCTAAACCTTGGTTGAATTTTCTCTATCTATACCCCTCTTCTCAAAGTTCCCAAACTGTTCACGATCGCTCCGGCAACACGGGGGCGGGGGGCGGGGGAGAAGAGGGGTGCTCTGCAGCGCCTCGGCTTCTCGCCCTCTACTAGCAACTGTTGCGGAGCTTACAGGCCCTGTCAGAAAGAGAGAGCATTGGCACTTTACCTTTGGGCGTGTGGCACCCTGGCGTGTGGCTGAGGACTGTAATGTCTAAATGAAGTTGACAGATGGTGTCAGTGCGGGCACGGGGGAAGGCAGCTAAGGAGGCTCCCGGCGGCGGCGGCAGCCCCAGCACCAGCGGCAGCACCACTCGACCCAGGATGAGCCAGGAGGAGGAGGAGGAGGACGACGAAGACCGGGTGGAGGACGGAGATGGGGTGGGGGTAGGTTGAGGGGGGAGGGGGTAGGAGGAGGAGAGGGAGAAGGGGAGGAGAGCGGAGAGGAGAAGAATGGGTGGGTCTGCTCCGAAAGGGGTGGCTGGTTTCTGGGATGGGAGGCAGGGGTGCTGTGAGGGGCAACGAGAAAGAAGATCTCATAAAGTTATATAGGTGGTCGAGTTTTGCTGGGGATGGGGTTCGTCCTAGCAAAATGTGAGTTAGTCTGTGGTCCCTCCGTTTGAAAGAGGGTGGGTAGGTGAGAGGGAAAGTGGCCGAGAGAGGAATTAAAAGGCCGAGGAGAACCCTGGAGAGAGAGGAGCGAGATAAGAGACGAAGCCTGCCGCCAGGTTGGGAGGGGGGAGGAGTGAGCGCTGAGGCCGAGCGCGCCCTCCCCAAGGCGGC